TCCAGTAGCTGATCAGGTCTGATTACTGCCAGAGATCATAATTGACACTGTGGATCACAGTCAATAATAGATAGTCAAGATACTCTTCCAGCGGCTGATCAGGTCTGATTACCTGCCAGCTCCCAGACATCATCATTGACATTGTGGGTCATAATCAATAACGAATAGTCAGACACTCTTCTGGCCGCTTTATCCATTCCTGACATTATTGACTCGCCTCACGTCTGTCAGTCTGTCAATAATCCATCATTAACGCTCATCCCAGTGATAACCTCCAGTGCAGGCTGATCTCGGGGGAAAAGCAATCTGTGCTGATCGGTTTCAATTGGGTACGATATTACAGTTGCCCAGGGGTCCCAGACTCGGGTCCTGAAGGCTGCTGGGTCTTCTATGCTTCTCCAGCACAGGCAGAGATCATGAGCTAGCTACTGCCTGACCGGAGGATTTTAAAGCGTGACTCAAGTCACAGGAGCTGTGAACGATAGCCCAGACACCGGCAGGGGGTGTGACAGGAGTAATAAGTAAATTTGGGGGCTCTGGAGGAGAATAAAAAAGCAGGCGTTTTTTCAGCTGCCCTGAGATCTCTCTCCTGTACCGTCTCTCTCAAACATCGATGGCCGGTTTTCAGTCAAGTGCCTTCTTCGGTGTCATCAAAAACCAATGACAAAAACTCGCACCCGAGCATTCGGGAATCGTTACCGATCACCCATCAACGAAGCACCAGCGCATCATAAATAATCTGTCCGGTCCAGTCAGTCCACGCCCTTCAGTGACCGAAGTTAAAGATCAGCAGCGGGCTATGCCGAGCCAGTGTTTAAAGAGCACATGCATCCCCACCGGCGCGGTAGTTACCCAGGCGAGCGGAGTCCCCGGCCGCCGCCGCCTCGCACTGGTCGTGACAGCCGCGTCGGACCTGGAGCAGCTCGGCCCGGGTGGCGATGGAGCGCTCCAGAAACTCGGCCGCGCGGTCCCACTCCTGCGTGAAATACGCCCGCACGCCCGAGTAGTACAGGCGGTCGTAGGGCAGCAGCTGGCCCCCGACGGGCTCCAGCAGGGCCCCGGCGGCCCGGGCAGAGAGGGAGAGGAGGAGGAGGAGGAGGAGAGAGAGGAGAGGGGAGCCCGGTGCCACGTCGCTAGCTGCGGTGTTTCCTCCGCGAAACGCCATTCGGATTCCGAGACTGGTCCGCCCGGAGATGGGAGGGCAGAGAGATGTGGAGGGAGAGATGTAGTAAAATTAAAGTGTGTTTTTTCCCTCCTCTCTCTCTTTCTCCTGGGACGGGGGGCGACAGTTGTGGGGAAGGGCTCAGAGAGGAGGAGACGGGGCTGGTTTTCTGCGGTGTGGGAGAATTATTGAAGGGGGAGTGTCGAGTTACAGCGGAGAGGGGGGAAGGACCGTGTCGTACCCTGAAGACAGTATCCTCCTGCGCGGTGGGGAAGAATGCTGTGCGAGTTCAGACCGACCGCATTCCTCAAGCCCTTGAAAGCGCTCTGCTGACCCTCTTCTTCTGCCCTTCGGCCCAAACCACGTCGCAGCGAGACCCCTGCAGTTTGCGCCGTCGACAGAACTCACGTTTAAACGCCGGCAAAACGAATTTCATTCATCGTTGATTTCATTTGGAAAAGTGTTCAATCTGTTTTTGTGTCGAGGCTACGTGCCACTTTCCCTAGTCTTTCTACCCCCCCAATAATTATACAGTCATTATAACACAAATGAGGCACAAAGGGTACTCTTTTCTCAGCTCTCCTGTATTGCATACGCAGCCGTCTGTCATTACGTGGGAGGCAGCGCCAGTAATTCCCCAAGCGTGCAAGAATAAACGGGAAATTGTATACACAACGATGCACCACCCCATAGAGGAGTATTCGTTAAGGTACCGACACAAACTCGCTCTGTCTCGCTGCGTCTCTGGGGAAAGTCGCACCATCTTCTCGGGAGAGACGGAGAACGACAGACAACGACAACATACGCCTTGTGCTGCCTAATCTGCGCACGTATTTGAGTGTGGGTCTTCATCCTGTGTTAATAAAGGCACGTTTTCGCCCGGTCGCTGACGTGATACATGAACTCTTAAATTTAAGGAGCCGTTACTAGTTGCAATACCTTATGCTTAGTACGTGGCGGTCGATGGATAACTTGTTGCCTTTTTAAGCATTACGTTTACTGCAACTCGGTAAGGCAAGTCGTGAACAGATAATATTAATCAGTTATCTCAGGGGGTGTCGCAGTGTACGGGAGCAGAACCGCTTAGTAAACCGAAATAAACGCCATAAATGTGGCTCATAAGCGCTGGACGGTTCTGATTCTGAACATTCGTGTTGGATTAATGTACACAATTGTATTTAATTTTTTTTTACTACGTGTTTTTTCCTACTACTATTTTACGACACAACACGTAAAAGGCAGTAATTAGTATGTCTACATTTGAATCTGTGAGTCCATAGAAAGTCTACACTGCTTCTCTGACTCGGAACTTTTTCCGAAGCTAACTTAATGACCGAGGCGACCCGCTCCGCCCGCCGCTAGGTGGCAGTGGCTCTTCTCCGGGGCAGCCGGAGTGACTTTTCCGCTTTCTCATTGTCGGCGCAGCAGCATTCTCGGGATCAGCCGTTACCGTATTTTAAGATATATAAGGAACGATAAGATTATTGTTGAGTTCAACATAGGACAACTTCCAAATGTCACTAGAATTAATACAGTAACACTATGTGAGTTCCTGTGTACAGAGTCTGTTTTACTTTTACTTATTTATGTATATAAATAATTGTGAGAGCCAACTAGAAATTGTTAGGTTTTTAATACCGTTTATTATTCACTTCTGTCCAGAAAGCTTTTAATGCATATTTCACAATCACTTTTTTCCAATTAAATGCTATTAAAATTAACTGCCACCCACTATTTTCCTTCGGCATAAAGCTATTAAGAGATATTCATCGAGATTAGAGCAATTAAACAAAATTTAATATAAAACGTTTAACATATTTGTTATTTGTACATTCCCATGAGTTAAGCTTTATCAGTGGATTGGATGCATAATGAAATGCGTTTTATGCCTGAGGATGGAATTATGAGTTAAGATAAAACGGGACTTCCTTCGTACTAGTTGTATTACGGTTAGGCGCGCGTCCGCGGCGGAGTCGGAGTGTGTCTGGCCTCAGGAGCGCGCCCGGCCTTACAGTTTCCAGTGACACAGAGAGACGGACCGAGCCGGAGAGAGAAAGAGACCAACCAAAAAAAAAAAGAGGACAGAAAAGAGAAGGACGATGTCGGACCTAGGCGAAGTGCTGATGTCGGTATTGTCCACGATCCGTGTCCCACGGCCCGGGGACAGCGTTCACAAGGAAGAGTGCGCTTTCTCTTTCGCCAGTCCGGTGAGTCCAGTCCATCCATAGTCTTTCCCTCTTGAACCCCGTCTCTGTCTCGTCTGGCCACGTCTTTGTTTCTGTCTTCCCGGCTCCTGCTTTTCCGGGCTATTTCTGTGTGTTTGTCTCTCTTGTCTGTCCCCCCCCGCCGGCCCGCCTTGTCCAAAAATCTCCCCCTCCTTTCCTATCGTCTGAATATCTGTTCACCCGTCTTTCCCAGAACCGCATATCCACCCATTTTCGCGCTGTGTTCTTTCGTTCCAGTGTGTTTCTTTACTTCTTTCTGGCTTCATTTTCTCTCTCTGGGTCTATTTTTGCCCATTTCTGCCTCGTCTGCTCCTACTATCCCTCCACTCCGTCTCTGTTAGGCGGTGTAACTCCCTCGGGTTGACTTGGGAGTAGTGTTGTTTCCTTTCTGTAATTCATATTTGTGTGAGGCGCTTGCTAATATCTGTATCGCCCCTTCCTGACCGAAAAGTTGTGTAGTAGCGTCTGTCAGCTGTTCTGTGTAGACCATTACATGTCTGTGCATGTTCGTGTGCCAGTTTGTGTGTGTGTCTGCAGGTCTGTGTGTGTGTGCCAGTTTGTGTCTGCAGGTCTGTATATGTGTGTGTGCCAGTTGGCCAGTCCATTCCAACACACCCCTGTAGTCTGAGTCACTGTTTCTGCATGCTCTCCGTCTCCCAATGCAGTATTCATGCACTGTAGTTTCCAGGCTCAGCCAAACAGTGTCCCTGCCAGGTACCATCATCTGACAGATAGGGATTCCCTCTGCCAAACTGTCAGAACGCCAGGAATCGGCCTGTTCCCTCCTTCCTCTTCTGCACAAGCGTGTCTTGAAGGTGTTCCTTGGAGAAATGCACCACAAAAGCTGACCTGTCCATTGCGGGAGAGGTTTGGGTTTAATTGCAAGTCACTCTAGCAGATTTCCAGGCCTTTCAGTGTTGAGCGATCTCCCGCTCAGTAGAAAAGGAAAGCCCTTCAGCTGAAGTCTCCCTTTTATAACGGCTTCATCTAATTCAGAGTCGAGGGGGAGTCTGTCCCAGCAAGCAAGGGGCACAAGGCAGGGTCCACCCTGGACAGGACGCCAGTCCATCACAGGGAACACACACTTACGCCAGGGCCAAGTTATCCCAGAATCCAATTAACTCACCAGCATGTCTTTGGACTGAGGGAAATCAGATCCCCTTGAGGAAGCCCATGTGAACCCAGAGAGAACGCGCAAACTCCCCACATACAGTACCCCGGGAATTGAACCTAGGGCCCCAGCACCGCAAGATAGCGACGCTAATCTCTGTGCTACTGTTAGACAATGTCTTTGGACCGAGAGAGAATACCCACATTAATATGCATCTGCTTCTGGCTCTGTTCCCGAGCTGAGCCAAACTTACTATGACTAAAACATGCTTCAAATGCTCGGGTGCTGACCGGCCACTGCTCCAGCTCCACAGAGCCCTGCAGGCGAGTCAGCACCAATTGGAGGGGGCGGAGCATTTTCTCCTTGACATCACCGCAAGTGATGACATCACCGCAGAGGGGTCCCTTTCGAGTGTTTCTGGACACAGCTCGATGAGTTCCTGGAATCCATCAGCCCCTAACTACCACGCGCTCTAGATGAGCCGAGAGGCCTCCTCTGGCTTGCGTTCGGTCTCGCCACCCTCGCTTTCGCTATCTCTCTCCCTCCCAGGACAGCGAGGGGGGCCTGTACGTGTGCATGAACACCTTCCTGGGCTTCGGTGCTCAGTTTGTGGAGAGACACTATCGCCGGACTGGCCAGAGAGCCTTCCTCCACATCAAGAGGACGCGCCGGCCACAGGTACGCCCCCATCTGTCATCTGTCATAATAATAATAATCCTTACACTTCTATAGCGCTTTTCTGGACACTCCACTCAAAGCACTGTACAGGTAATGGGGATCCCCTCCACCCCCACCAGTGTGCAGCCCCACCTGGATGATGCTCCAGTCCTCTCCCCACACCCCAGCTCTCAGTGGGGAGGAGAGCAGAGTGATGAAGCCAGTTTAGAGAGGGGGGTTATTAGGAGGCCATGACTGGTAAAGGCCAGGGGGAATTTGGCCAGGACACTGGGGTAACACCCCTACTCTTTTCGAGAAACACCCTGGGATTTTTAATGACCACAGTGAGTCAGGACCTCGGTTTTACATCTCATCCGAAGGAGGGCGACTTTTTTATTTCCAGCTGGGGGCTACACGTGTCCTGTGCAGCGCTAGGAATGGCATGTCCAGAAAAGCGTTGTATAATTGTAAGGAATTGTTTTATGTTATTAAGTTTGTGGATGTGCACCGGGCACCATACCGGGCCCCCAGCCTCTGGTACAAGTACTAGGGCTGCCCGACCTCTTGGTGATGGGGTGACTAGCTCCCCTCTGGCCCCAGTGCTCGGTGTATCTCTCTATACAGACATCTCCCGCTGTCAGGGCCTGGCAAGCACACACGGAGTTTCTTCTCCTAGAAAGGATCATGCTGCTGCTTCAGGGATTTTATTTTTTTACCGGGCTTGCATGTAATCGTCCGTTATTTTCGTTTTTTGTCCTTGCCCCTCATGGGAATACATTCCGTATTGCCCCAGGGTAAGTGTTTTCTGACCTTCTGTCAATGTTGTTGGCTCGCAGAAGGAAGAGGAGAACGGATCGGGGGCGGGCGACCCTCCGAAGAAGAAGCCCACCCGACTGGCGATTGGTGAGCTCGTGGCGGGGGCCTGACGAGGCTCCGTGTTCGTCTCCTGTGGGCAATTGCTGGGCAAAAGAGGCAGCAGAGTCTGCGGATCAGCCCCTGCCCGTCAGGAAATCCTCTAGCCAGTTGCAGATAGAGTTGCATTAGCCCAGATTCCTGAGTTTTAGGACCAGCTTGGTGGGAACAATTGTGTTGAAAGCCAAGATGTAATCTATAAATATAAATAGTCTGTATAAATCTGTGTTTCTTAGGTGTGTTTGTAGTGTCTATATTAGAATCTGTTTTGATCTATTGTGTTAGATGTCTCTCTAGGGTCTATATTAGAGTCTCTATTGATCTGTGTGTGTGAGGTGTGTCTCTAGTGTCTATATTAGGGTCTGTATTAATCTCTCTGTGTATTAGTGCCTATAATTGGGTCTGTATTTCTGTGTTAAGTGTGTCTATATTAGGATCTGTATTAATCTCTCTGTGTTAATTGTGTTTCTAAGGTCTGTATGAGGGTGTGTTTTAATGTCTCTGTGGTAGCTGACTTCCGAAGAGGTATGTTAAATTCTGAATTAATTCATCTTCCTTTTGCTCAGGAATCGAAGGAGGCTTTGACGTGTCTGAGCAGGATCAGTATGACCAGGAAGTGAAAGTTGTTATCTTTCCTGAGAGACTGGAAGTGACCTCAGAAGACCTGGCCAACATGCCTGATGTTGTGCGCGAGAGGGTGAGGATTTTGGAAGATGCTCACACATGGCTTTTTGAAGTTTACCTGCTTAACTTTCCTTGCCATGGAGAGTGTGCAATGTGTATTTTGGACATTTAGGTAATTCCAATGATTTATTCAGTCTTATTTGAAGGAAATAGTAATCATCATAATAAATTGGTAACGCTTATATAGCGCTTTTCTGGACACTCCACTCAAAGTAATGGGGAATCCCACTTCCACCACCAGTGTGCAGCCCCACCTGAATGATGCTCCAGTACTTTCCCCACACACCAGTTCTCACTGGGGAGGAGAGCAGAGTGATGAAGCCAGTTCATAGATGGGGATTATTGGGAGGCCATGATTGGTAAAGGCCAATGGGAAATTTGGTCAGGACGCCATTGTAACACCCCTGCTGTTTTTGAGAAACACCCTAGAATTTTTAATGACCACAGAGAGTCAGGACCTCGGTTTTACATCTCATTTGAAGGACGGCGCCTTTTTACAGAATAGTGTCCCCGTCACTATGCTGGAGTATTAGGACCCACACAGACTGCAGGGTGAGCGCCCCCTGCTGGCCCCACTAACACCTCTTCCATCAGCAGCCTTAGCTTTCCCAGGATTCTCTCATCCAGATACTGACCAGGCTCACACCTGCTGAGCTCCAGTGGGGCTGCCAGCTGTGAGCTGCAGGGTGATATGGTTTCATTTATTCATCTGGTTTTTAAGCAGTCAATTAAGGCTTTCCAAAATGAGTTATTACTCTGTTTTGACTCTTGATCCTTGAAAGCATTTAAAGAAGCTTAATACTTCTGAAATATTCTAAACATGTATCTTGTTCTTAACTTGATGTTTGGGTCCTCTTCTAAAATATAACTCCTGGTTCTGTTACTAAGTCTGAACTTGCCCCATGCTTCGTCATTCATTGTTTAATAAAGCTGTGAAAACGCGGCATTCTGGTACATGGGGTTTGTGGGAGTTGTAGTCTGCTGTGAGGTCAGTGTAACTTGAGTCTCTGTCACTGGTTGTTAATGTGTGGTAGCATCCTGCGAGTCCAGGTATCTATTAACTCTCTGCTTTTTTCTCTCAGGTGTCCCTCTCCATGGCAGGGGTTCTCTCAGCAGACTCTGCGTCCCACAATCTCCAGGTTCAGCAGTGGGATGGGGAGGTCAGGCAGGTCTCCAAACACGCGGCCGACCTCAAGCAGCTGGACAACGGGGTGAAAATCCCCCCCTGGTCAGTCTTTGTGCTTGACTGTGTGTCTCCTGTCCCTGCACGCTTGTCTCCTCTTGCTGGACTGTGTGTCTCCTGGCCCTGCACGCTTGTCTCCTATCTGAGATGCTTTGTAGCTGCTAGAGAAGGGAGGGCCTCTCTCTGTGTGCAGGAGGTTTCTCTACAGCACCTGCATTGAGATTAAGTGTCCTAATTCACTGCAGAGTTTCAGTCAATATTATGTTGTTTAGTGACTGGTATGCTAGTCTTCTCTCAGTCAGTGAATTCTGTGTCTGTTACCTACAATTCTGTGCCCCGGGTCAGTGGCCAGTGTG